CTGTTGAAAGTTATAAAATACCTAAGGTAAATGGAGGTGTAGTTACTACTTACATTGTTAAAATAGGTTTGAGAAAAATAAAGTAATTTCCGCACCATTCAGTAATTCAACTGGCAGTTCTCAAAATAATACTGCAAAATATAAGCGTAAAGCTGATACAAATTTCTCTCAAAATAAAAAAAATAAATAAATAAATTGCTCAACAGACGAAACATTTTCCGATTACTGTAAGTTTAGCTAAGCACGAATCTGCCACTGTTCATAAGATTTGTACAAAAACTGATTAAAGTATCTTTTTTTTGTTTTGTTTTGTTTTCTTAAATGATGCAAGTAATAAAAATGTTTTTTATGTGTAAGGTATTTTAGTGTTGCTATCATTTAAGAATTAGTAACTATTTAAAGTTAATTCATTATTAAAAACTATATTTTTATCATTTTGTGAAAAATCTCCTGATTTTTGTGTGTCAGAGGTTGGCAAGTATGTAATTGCATCTGACAAATAACTGTTACTGTAAAATTCTAATATTCTGGCACCTGGTAGTTTGGCATATATCCAATATAAATGCTGTCAGACTAATTTTTATGAACTTAGATAACTAATAATGTGCTGTTTGGAATATTTAAGTAAACTTATAATAATTATCTGAATTTCAGAGAAGAATTAACGGAATGCATTTTAATAGTTATTTTAAATATTCTATTAAAATCATACACCTTAAAAATCTGCTTACAAAATTATTTTCATATTAGGTATATATTCAAACAGAGTTGCCACACTACCTGGAAAACCAGAAAAAGTCAGGGAATTCGAAAGTGACCAAAAAACTCTGGGAAAATTCAGAGAAATCAATTATTTTAGTCAAAATCTGGAAAAGTCGGGGTATTTCATATGGTGATCCAAAAAAAGCAATTTTTTCGCCAATGTGTGAAGCTATCACTTTCTTAGTAAATTATGTATCATCTGAGTATTAATCGGGCAGCTGACATAGAGCCAATTTTTGCAGCTCTAATTAGATTGTCTTTTAGAAAAGTAAAGCAAGTTTCCAGTAACCTCAAGAATCAAGAGACTTGCATGTGCATGTGCAGTGCATGTTGAACTAAAGAAAATACCTTCCCATTCTCGTCTAAAACAAAATCAATTTAACACATCGAACTGGTTAACAAAATCAATTAGTATATGGTACACATGGGATTTGGCGACATTATGATGAGCAATATACGGGTCATTTTGTTGATGGCAACAATTTTCAAAATCGTACCAACGCTGTAGTGTATACTAGGATTTTACTGCAAAATCTTTTAAACTTTTTTTTTTTTTTTTTTTTAAATAAATGCTTTATTTGTCATTTTGAAGTAAAATAAAAAAAAAAAAAAATAGAAATCAATCATCTAGCTCCATTTAATATATATTTGGCAAATTAATTGATATTTTCCAAAATATCGTTGATTACTGTAATTAAGTTTTTAATCTTTACGTAATTAACTTTATTTTAATGTGCTTTGTGTATAATTTAATGTGGCTTCTTCTAAATGTATTTATTATGAGTTAATAATAATATCACATTTCAGGTAATTTTATCTGGCATAGTCCTTAAACTAATTCTAGAAGTATCATGACATACCATCACAAAATTTAATTCACATAATTTTTGCTTATGTTTACTGCTAAGTAAATATAAAATAACTGAATTTATTTGAAAATATCATTAAATTGATTTCTTTCTTTCGTTTAGCTGCAAAATGTGTGGGAAAAAAAAGAGGGTATTTTTTAGTCCAGGTTGGGCAGATTCTTATATCAGTCTTCAGCGGAGAAAACAACTCCTATTATAGTTATAATAGCAATGCTTTGGTTATTGTATGTTATGTATGTAATAAATTCAGGAGCAGGAAGCAATGACAAGGAAATTGGAGGTGAATGCAGATTAAATCTTCAGTTTTATTTTGAGCAACATGTTGGTACTACACACAATTCGGTACATTAAATGTGCCTGTTCCAAAAAGCTTACATATTTTATATAACTTTGTAGCAAGAAAGTAGCAGCAGACAGACGGCAGTGTAGCTAGGCCAAAGAGTGGAAAGCAAGTGTGTAATGTTCAGGATGAAATCTCAAGTCAGACTGAGTTAGTTTTGGTTTTCAAAGCATTTTGATTGGATATTTAATACTGCTCTAAAATTACTATTGGCTGGTTGGGTTTTAGTTCCATTTACATCATCATAATTATGTAAGAATCATATGACATAGAATAGTGTACATCATCATAATTACGTAAGAATCATATGACATAGAATAGTCTCAAAATAACTCAGTGCAGAGAGGGGTTACTATTTTTAGAATTGAGCAGGGAAATTAATTTACACTGCTAATTTTATCTTTTACATATTCTTTCTTTTTCTTACATATTCCCTCCCCTTTAAGAAGAAAAAGGCATAGCGACAGAGAAGCCTTTTTAAAGCGAAAGCATTAAAGCACTAGCAAATGAAAAAACATAAATAATAAATTTTTGATCCTGTAAAAGTATAATTTTTTAAATATCAATTTTTTAAAATAAATTCTTAATTTTCAGAGTCCTATTGAATTTTCCAGCATTTCAGTCCAAAAGTCTTTTTGTTTGAGAGTTCACATAATCGTAATTCTTCAGAACAGGTTCTTGTTATTACAGAATATCACGAATTAAAACTTTTAAATAATCATTACTTATAATTAAATGTAACACACATAAATATTTATGATACTAATTTCCATATTGATAAATTATATTTTAACACCATATAATAGGAGTAACAGTTTCAGAAATTATAGTTTCACCGTTATTATCTTTCTTTTGCTATTCCTTTATTTTACCATACTGGAAGGCCTCGTAATACTTCTAAACAAACATATCCATCAATAGGGCTGTCCTCTTGAACTAACTAGTGTGTTCTCTGCACTGGTGGCCCAGGTGCCTAGGCAATTACTTGAAAAGGCCTCCGTTCCTTGCATAAGGTAACTGGCCTTTGAGAACTGCACTAATACATTCCTCAATAAAAAAAAGTACAATAATAATAATTTTTAAAAAATTACACACACACATAAAATGAGAGCCTCCAACATTTATCTTACATGAAGAATGGTAAAAGGAACAACTGTCCATAGGTAATTAGAGGCCTCTGTTTAAGGAAGCAGTACACCCTCATCATACTCTATATTTAACATACAGTCACCTATGTATTTTAACATGCATTTACCATAATTTCATATTACTTAATCCATGTACTAACTTTCACTTATTTTTTACATCTACTTCTAAATATGAAAAAGAATAATTATAAATTTCGTATTCAAAATTTTCAACAAAATTTCAAAAATATAAAAACTTTCTTAATAGCCTTCCCTAAAAATATAAAAATCTAAGAATTCTTTACTCGCTTTACTAAATTATTAGAATTCAAATTTCTAATATCGTTAAATTATATTTTTTCATATCATAGTGTTACATTTTTAATATCCAATTTATTAAGAAAAAATATCAGTTCCCAATGGAGATTTAATTATGCAAAAGCGAGTATAATTTTCTTACGCCTACTTCAAGTGTAAATTTAATCCTATGACTGTAAAAGAACAACCTAATTTATTCACATAAGAGCCATATTAAGATATGCAGTTCAATGACCTTGAAAGCACTGGAGTGATTTTAAATATCAGCACTCGGAAAACATTCGTCATTTTACTATAAACAAACCCTGGATTAATTTTGAAAGGCTGGCACTAGATTTCATTTTTAAGCACTCTCAGCAAATCTATGATTCGATTTTTTTTTTCATGTTTTCATACTGCTGTTGAAGAACATTGCACTAATTAAATCACCGCATATACTAGATTAAATTTCGAAGAATGGATTTTGACTTGAAACATTTAAAACTTTTAACACAACTTGCTGATTCTAGGTTGTGCGTATAGATTGACGGAGCCGAAGTTATCTTGAAGATTAGAACACAAAGGCATTAATTAATTAATTCACTTTCACAGTCATAGCCACAATTTGGATGATAACACTTCTGTGAAGAATAGGAACAGTTTGGTGATTTAAAACACTTTTTTTTTCTTCTAATTATTTAAGAGATGGCTGCACACTTCGTTTTCACTGATGGTAGCACTTTTGGACTTGCGGATACTCGATATGCATTATGAATTTTCATTACACGTGGAAGTTTGAAGAGATGGTTGGTTATTGTAGACACTGCAATGACATTTCCACTGGAATTCCAATGCGCAGGACATTTGTCATGTCGACTCGGATGTAATAAATTCAGGAGCAGGAAGCAATGACCAGAAAATTGGAGGCGAATGCAGATTAAGTCTTCAGTTTTATTTTGAGGAACATGTTGCAGCTACACACAAGTCGGCACATTAAATGTGCTTGTTCCAAAAGGCTAACATTTTTTATAACTCTGTAGCAAGAAAGCAGCAGTAGACAGACAGCTGTGTAGCTAGGTGAAAGAGTGGAAAGCAAGTGTGTAATATTCAGGATGAAATCTCAAGTCAGACTGAGTTAGTTTTGGTTTTCAAAGCATTTTGATTGGATAGTTAATATTGCTTTAAAATTACTATTGGCTGGTTGGGTTTTATTTCCATTTACATAATCATAATTACATAAGAATCATATGACTTAGAATAGTCTTGAAATGACGCAGTGCAGAGAGGGGTTACTATTTTTAGAATTCAGAAGGGAAATCAATTTACACTGCTAATTTAATCTTTTACATATTCTCTTTCTTACATGTATATATATATGTATTAAGTCATATGTAATTGGCAAATTATGTGTTTTCAACTGGTACCATAATTAATTTACCTCTCAGCACAGCCAACACACACTACCTGGATAAACTGGAATTTTCTTAAAACACACATGGAAAAGTCAGAGAATTTCATTCTCCTTTTGAGTGGCAACCCTGTTCAAACTTAATTTTGTTTGGGGATGTTTTCTATGAATGTTATATTTGTGATTTTTTTTTCCAGTGTCTTTTGACTCGGAGTACAGAAAAGCATTTGCGAAACTTTCGAACAAACAGTTATCTCAATTGCACACGAATGATCGGCCTCCTGCAGAAGGGGCGGTCTTCTGTCGTAGGTATTTCCGCGACTTAGAATTGAGAATATGATGTAAAAATAAATACCTTTTGTGTTCTGTTATACACTTGTGCATAATATTTTGTTTTAAAAGACTGAAAATTTTACAACTGAGCATTCTCAAAATACTGACTGTTATTGTAAATGTTTTGTTTACTAAGAATGTATGTTATTTTTTTCCCCTTCCAAATTAAGAACTATTTTTTGCCTTCACGTTTTCAAAGTATATTTTTCATGTTTGTAATTAAATAAGTTATAAAAGTTGTTTATGTTAATACTTTTGATAAGCAATGCAAAAATGAATACTCTGTTTTTTATTGTTTAAAAAATGTGAGTTAAATTATAAATAATTCTATCTAAGTAATTTATGAATGAATAAAACATTTTTTCTCTCATGAATTTTAAGCATTTTTTAAAACGATAATCCTCTAGAGACCCCTAGAATGATTGTATGTATATTATTTGTGTCAGATAAGTTCATGGTTTTCTAAACTAATTTGTGTGTAACATTTTTCATTATGTATTTTTATTATTATTATTATTTATTTATTTAAGTACAGAAGTTTTCAAAATTATTTGTTGAGTAACTTTTTTTAATGAATTGTAATCAGAAGTATCTGCGGTAGAAATTGGACATAATTGGAAAATTTTAGACAAGAATTATGAAAACTGTACAAGAAGTTCAGTATTCTTAAAGTTGTTGGTTGAATAGTCAAATAATTTTATTAATTGTTTAAAAATGTTTTCCTTTCATTAATTTGTCAGCTTTCATTTGGATAATTTGTTTTGTGTAGATGCTTTTATTTTTGGTACTCATTCCCCCTTTCCAGAATGGAAAAAAATCCAAATAATAATAATAATAAATGAAAATTCATTTGTTATTTCTGTAAAAATGATGAAGCATTTTATTTTGATCCTTGTAACCATATATTCCTTACTATTTTTAATAGTTTTGTAAAATGCCACATAAGGGAAAATGTGATTTTTCTCAAAGTTATGAATTTTTTTATTATATTTAATTAAAAATGTCTGCTATTAAAACCTTTTAGATTTTTTAACACATTTTGCTTATATCTTTCATTAAAATATTTAACTGAGCATTTATATGTATGCTGTAGACCACATATTCAAAGAAACACTTTCAATGGTTATTCCAAATGCCAGAATTTAATTGAATCTGAAATACTTTGCCAAATAAATCAGTTTTAAGGTATTTTCTGCACAATCAAAGTAACTAAAGTAAATAACTTTTTGTTTATAGTTTTATAGAGTACAGTTTGACATGACTGCTCTTATAATATGCTTCTGTAATATTCAAAATGTTAAATTATACTATCACTTGAAATTTGGTTTATTAACTTCAGTGCACAAATTTAAATAAATTTGTAACCATGTTATTAAGGTTTTCATAATTTTTTTTAAACTTTCCTTCTTTTTCTTTCCCTGCTTTCTTTTTAATGAAATGATTTAAATTTGGCATTAATTTGCTCTTGTTTGAGCATAAGCGAATGATGAATTGAAATTTAATGAGAACTGAAGATAAACTTCCCCCTTTATGTTATATATATGTGATGTACCAGCTTTAGTCATAGCTTAAATTATCAGACGATAAGTTTTAAAAAAAAAAAAACAGGATCCATTTATTATTATTCAGGAGAAATAGCAGTTACAAAATCAGATATCCGGAGTAAATAAAAAGAATTACTAATAACTTTTTGTATGAAGTTTACTGCAATCGTGACATTTAAGAAAAAGCCCCATATTCTTTTGCGAGTCCTTTTATAGCCTCTGGAAAGGCGGAGCTTCCAAGAAATGACGTCAGCCAATCCAGTTCGCTTTAAATATTTCCAGAACATTCTATAACTGTACGTGTAGAAAAGGCGGGAAAAAACAACTTGACTACGGGGCTGTGGATTTAATTCCACATACTTTCAAATAAGAGAACATCGCCATTAAAAATGAAAAGAACATACAGTTAGAATTTTAAGTGTATTCTTGATTATGGAATTTTATTATTACAAATATTCCCCCCCCCATCTGAAAAGGCTTGAAATTTAAATAAACTCGTAATTACTTTAACATAATATATTTAAACCAAACTATTGTCGTAGCAACTTAGTTCACACACTGAGAAAAAATAATTTCTTAAAATCTGTTCTTACTTGGCTGTTGAGTACACTGTTTAATCCTGCTCGTTTGTGGAAAAAAAAAAAAAAAAAAAAAAAAAAACAGCATAAATGATTTAAATTCTTCAGCTTCTTTCCAGCAGACAATATCCAAATCATGCGGTTCTAACTATGAGACGCACTCAAAATTCGAAGACAAAGCTGTATCACAATTCACAATTGTTCAGTTGTAAAAAACAAACACCACTTGCACTCAAAAAGTTCTTTTCTTCCATTGGAATTATTTTCCTTTAGGGTACACCCATCCTGCCGACTCCTTGTGATGTACCAGCTTTAGTCGTAGCTTAAATTATCAGACGATAAGTTTTAAAAAAAAACAGGATCCATTTATTATTATTCAGCAGAAATAGCAGTTACAAAATCAGATATCCTGAGTAAATAAAGAGAATTACTAATACCGTAATTTCCGGAAGAAACGCCACAGCATTTACGTGTTTAAAAATTAAGCAGGTGCAGCATTTCTAGCCCATGAGGCATTCTTAGGTGCACTAAAAATAAAATATTTCCTATTGATGGTCATTGTACCTAGTTTGGATGACCTTGTCATTTGTGCATAGTTTGGTGCTGTTCCCACACAAAAGACCACTTCAGTTGCTTTCTGCGAACGTTTTTTTGTTTACAATTCTTTCCCTTCAACAGGACCTACATGCCTTATTCACTTTAAACGAGGATCTCGAGAACAAATAACATTCTTCCCTCCTTCCAATCAACATTCTCAGCATTTTGAATAGTCTCTCTTCCTCTACCACTGTCGATGAATCTTCCAGGACCCGTCCTCTCTCCTGTCCTGCCTTTTCCAATGTAAATCTCCAGCAAATTTTTTCAAAGGCGGTCACGACTCCACCTTTGTCGCAATAACGAACTCTTGACAAATTTATTCCCTCTTCAACATGAATGGATTTTTCTTGGCATTCTGCCAGATACAGATCCCATCAGTTTTGGTACAAGTACTTGTTGGATAGTTTTTAAGTAAGAAGGGAACGGGAAAATTTTTGAAAATGGTCCACCTAAACAGGCACAGAAGCTATATTGCTGGTTTTAAGCTCAATGTAATTTCACGTGCTGAACAAACTGGAAATCGAGCAGCAGCTCGAAAGTTTGAAGTGGACGACAGATGTATTCGACGTTGGAGAACTGAAAAAGAACTTCTTAAAAATATGCCACAACAGAAACAAGCCAAAAGAAGTGGTACTGTAAGGTGGCCAAATCTAGAGGACTACCTTGCAAACTGGATAAAGGAGCAACGAGGAAAGGGAATGGCAATTTCGACTGTAAAAATTCGCTTACAAGCAAAATTTATAGCAAAACGAATGAACATAAATGATTTCAAAGGAGGTGTAGCAGATTTATGAAAAGAAACGCTGATGCAGCCTTTCTTCCAGAAATTACGGTAACTTTTTGTATGAAGTTTACTGCATCGTGACATTTAAGAAAAAGCCCCGATATTCTTTTGCGAGTCCTTTTATAGCCTCTGGAAAGGCAGAGCTTTCAAGAAATGACGTTAGCCAATCCAGTTCACTTTAAATATTTCTAGAACATTCTATAACTGTACATGTAGAAAAGGCGGGAAGAAACAACTTAACTACGGGCTGTGGATTTAATTCCACGTACTTTCAAATAAGAGAACATCGCCATTAAAAATGAAAAGAACATACAGTTAGAATTTTAAGTGTATTCTTGATTATGGAATTTTATTATTACATGTATATTAATATAATTGTTATTAGTATTTTTTTATTTTAAAAGTATAAAAACGGGAAAATTCTTCACTTAAAAAAACTCCTTTTATTATGATATATAATATTGGATAATTAGCCCAGTAGCGTATAAAATTTTTCAGTATTTAATATCATAGTTTATTAAATTATTGTTAATATGAAAAACAGAACTATAGTTTTGTACTGTAATATTTTTGGTTTTAATAAGATTTAAATTGTAAATATTGTCAGCTTTAATTGAAAACACCTGCACTATTTCATAATATTCATTCACCATTAAGCAGTGAATATAAAATGATATTGTAATAATAATATAATGAATAAAAAGGTTTATTCATTATGATATTTTTGTGTAATTAAATTGTTTTACTCAGTAAATGAGAGATTAGATTCGAAAATGATTATGTGAATAAGGAATAAGTTGTTTGTGTATGTTTATAAATATGTAAATGATTTCACATTGAGTTTTCTGTTGAAAAATCATGCTATATCAACATGTTACTAATATATATGTTATTGTGTGATACACACAGTAACATGATGCTTCACTATTTAATTTTTTTTTTCTTTCCATAAACGTGCATTGTTTAATAATATTTGCAGCGTGTGTACATAAAATCAAAACTTAACTAACTAAAAAATAAACTGTCAAGTGTTTTGTTGATGTATTTAAAATAAGTAAACAGTTTTTCTGATGTTTCTCTTTAAATACTTAAATCATTTTTACAGATATATTTTATTCTGCAACATCAAATCTGTTTTGCCAACTTTTATGCAATGTGCATAAAATGTATGCGTTTTCATATAATACAACAGAATTCTGATACTTTGCACATCCTAAAATCAAAGGCTGTGTGCCATAGAGAATTTTGCAGATTATAGTCATGCCTTTTTTAGTTTCATTTATATTTTCCCCTTTGTAATTTTCATATTAAATTTGGATGGATCAATAATGATTCTAAATTGAATCATTATGCTACCATTATATTCTGTATGTTTATAATGGATTAATAATAAAGTGACCATACGTCCCGATTTTGGCGGGACAGTCCCGCTTTTTGGAGGACTGTCCCACGTCCCGCCGATTTTTAAAATGTCCTGCTTATTAGAAAACATCTGCATTTCTTATTTTAAATGTATTGTAAAAATATATTACCTATTATTTATTAATTATTATAGTAAATATAAAGAAATAAAAAACATAAATAAAAAAACACATAAAATGCATGCAGAGTAATCTAAATTAGGCGATGTAACGAGTTAGATTTACTCAGTGGTGTTCGATCATTGTCATTACGTCTCGTCAAGGAATATGTTTTGTTAACTGAGGAACAGCTAGCATCAGCTGAAGGGCTATTTGCTTTCCACACCATAAACCACAATCCAAGTTTCAGATCAATTGATTATACGTCGCAAATGATCAAAACATTCTACGACAAAAAGTTTCATGTCCAAGGACAGAAACCGAAGCAATTGTCTGCATCTTGCATTTGAACTTTTATCAAAATTTAAATGCTTTTGTATAAACTGATCCATAATTTTTGTTATAGTGTCTGAGCTTTATTTTAGAAAATCTTTTGAAAGTTCCTTTTGCTCTTAGTCTTCAGAAACACTAATTTTGTCATTTTCGTGTACTTGTTATTCAACTAGTTTAAGATCATCATTGGAAAAACTTTCACCAATCTTAATTTGCAATAATTCTTTAATATTCTGCACATTTATATTATTTAACCCTGTTTCATTAAATAAGATAATTTCATTATCTAGCTTGACAATTTCATCGACATCAACATTGAATTCTCTTATGTCAACATCCTTGCTTAGCTTTAAGCATACATTATCACCTAATTCCAGGAAAGACTGATGTTGTCTACACTATATATGATATTGTATTTCTTCAAAAAATCTTTAATGGATTGTATATTTTTTTCCTCGATTTTATGAATCAGTTGTAGGAATGTCGCTGCAGATTATAAGCATTAAAATTTGAAATTATGCTTTAACCTATTCATTGGATTAATGAAGTTGTGTTCATTGGGGGGGGGGAATGGAAAACACTTCTGTGGAATGAATGCAGTTATGTCGGCCAAATTCTTTGGATGGCATAGAACATTATCAGTCAAAAAGTAAACCTTTCAGTATTAGTTTTTTTTTAATTCATAGTAGCATTAACATAATGCTACTGCTTTTGTCTGAATGTAGAAAAAAGTGTAGGGCAAAAATATTTGGTAAACCAGTTCTCAAAAAATTTTTATACTTTCTCAAAAATATTTATGGCATGTTATGTAATGGCTTAAATCATTATTTCCATAATACACATTATATGCTAATATATTTTTACACATTAATCATAAAACACTTTAATTTGTTTTAATTATGAATTTCAACTATATGTGGGGTGCAATTTTATTGTTTTAAAACCTAAATGCAAGCTTTTATTAAAATTTATGTTAAAACATCCAGTTTACATATTAACTAGTATCGGTACTTTTCCGCTTTACCGGCGCAGGCAATAAAATCGCCAATAATGGTACAACTGATGCCAAACGGAAAATCCTCACTGGTAACCTTTTATGCCTTATTTTCAAAACAAGTCGCAGCCATTTCTTATCAGATTGATTGTTTCGTTTAATACTTGCATACAATTTACATAGAATATTTACTAGATAGTTCAGTTTTATGCCCTAAGGCCATTTGCAGTAATTAAGTCAATTAGGATGCAATCACGCTGCTCACCTGAAGGCAAAATTATAGAAAAAGCAAAGCCAAGGG